CCTGATTTCCTGGCTGCTGTTACCAAGAGTGTTGACTGTGGAGCCAAGTAAATTAAAACTGTTAACTATCTCAGTCTCTTCACCTTCCATACTGATGCTGCCAATTGGGCCAGTGGTGAGAATCTTTGTTTTCCTGATGTTGAGCTTCAATCCGTATTGAAGACTGCAATCCTTGACTTTCTACAGCAAGCACTTCAGGTCCTCCTCAGTTTCAGCAAGCAGGGTTGTGTCATCCTCATAAAGCGGGTTGTTGATGATTCTTCCACCAATCCTGATGCCACATTCCTCCTTGCCCGGCATCTTGGATGATCTGTTCTGCATACAGATTGAAAAGGTATAGAGACAAAATACATCCCTAACAGACCCCTTCTTGATTTTGATCCATCCAGTGTCTACCTGCTCTGTTCTGACGACTGCCCCTTGGTCCAAGTATAGGTTTCGCATTAGCACAATCAAATGTTCTGTGATTCCCGTTCTTACTGTTCGATAATTTCCACACTCTGTTGGGTCATCTTTTTTTAAAATGGGAATAAATATGATCATGGGTTCTTCTTCTTTTCCTCATTCTCTATTATACTTGGTAGAGTATGAGAAAAAGACCACCACCACCCCCCCATTGAAGAGCCCTAACAGTGGCTACACTAAAGGATTTTAATATGCCTGCTGTTGTAAGAATGACACAGGACTGGTCAGCTTTTTACTGTTCTTCCTAAGGTCACTTTGAGTAGGAGCCGACTCCACAGTTCCTACCAGCAGCAGTCCACAGTGGTAACAGTTAACCAGTGGTTGCTTGGGACCAGGAACTGAGGGAGAGTTGGACTGCAAAGGCCCAGTAGGCCTTTTTTGTGTTTGATAGGAACGTCTTTCTCTTGATTGTGGTGGTGGCTTCACAAGTGTGTGCAATGCTCAAAACTCATCACATTGTATATTGTATATAAATGGGTGCATTCTGTTACAAATACATTGTTGTTGTTAAATGCCAGTGGAGTTGACTGCATCTCATAGCAATCCTGTGAACAATGGCTCTCAACCTTGTCCTGTCCTGAGCCAACCTCACTTTCTCAGACACACATGACCCCAATGCCTCAGTCACATGTCAGTCCATCTCATCCAGGATCTTCCTCTCCTGTGCTGACCCTCTACCCTTCCAAGCACGATGTTCTTTTCCAAGGACTGGTCCCTCCTAGCAGCATGCCCAAAGTAATGTGAGACGGAGCTTCAAAATCCTTGCCTCCAAGGAGCAAATTGGTTTCACCTTCTCAGTACTTTTCTCCAGCATCACAACTCAAAAGCATTGATTCTTCTTCTGTCATCCTTATTCCATCTCCCAGATGCATAGCAAGCAATTGTGAAGACTGTGGCCTGGATCAGGCACACTTTAGTCTCTAGAATGATAACATTGCTCTTTAGCACTCTGGAGAGGTCCCTGACAGCAGACTCTCCCAACACAGCTCATCTTTTGATTTCTTGACCGAGAGTGTTGAATATGGATCCGAGCAAGATGAAATTGTTAACAGCCTCAGTCTTTTGTTAACAATATTGCTAATTATCTGATATTATTATTAACAACAATATCACTAATATCACATATAAGCAAAATCTTGCTGAAGATTATCCAAAAGCAACTGCAACAGTGTATTGACAGAGAACTGCCAGAAACCAAGCAGGGTTTAGAAGAGGCCATGGGACTAGGGACACGTACGTTATGCCACGCTATAGGACTATCTGTAGGAGTCTTATGTAACTGAAGATGGATAGATAGCCGTTGGTGGTGGTGGTTGTTGTTGTTAGGTGATGTTGAGTAGACTTATGATTTGCGGTGACCCTATGAACAATAGTTCTGAACTCTGCCCTATCTCATGCCATCCTCACCACCTCTGATACACTTGAGCCTTTGTCACTGTATCACTCCATCTTGTTGAGGGTCTTCCTTATGCCGACCCTCCACCTTTTCAAGCATGAGGTCCTTTCCCAAGGGCTGGCCCCCCCTAACAATATGCCCAAAGTATATGAGATGAAACTTCACCATCCTTGCTTTCATGGGGCACCCTGGGTGCACTTTCTAGAAGACATATTTATTTGCTCTTTTGGCAGTCCATGGGATAGTCAGTGTTTTTCTCCAACACAACTCAAAGACATCGATTCTTCTTCTGTCATTCTTATTCATTGTCTAACTTTCAGATGCATAGGAAGCAATTGAAAAGACCATGAGTTGGATCTAGTGCACCGTAGTCTTTAAAATTGACATTGTTACTCTTCAGCACTTTGGAGGAAAGGTCCTTGAAAGCAGATTTTCCCAATGCAACAGTCTAATTCATCAGAGTAAGAAACTTGGCCTGGTTTTGTATCATCCCCAGAACTGTTAGTATGTTTAAGTCCATCTCACCAAGGGTCTCCCTCACCCTCACTGGCGCTCTACTTGACCAAACATGAATCCTTCTCCAGCAGTTGATCCCTCCTGATGAAATATCCAAAAGAACTGATTTGTGTAATATTCTGTTGCAATACATGTGTTTTCATTGACCAAAATTTGGAAGTAGATCACTAAGCCATTCTTCCTAGCTTGTCTTAGTCTGGAAGCTCCACTGAACTTGACCATCATGGTTGACCCTGCAGATAACTTGAGTTACTGGTGGCTTATCTTCTAGTATCATAGCAAACCACCACAATATAACAGAACTGACAGATGGGGGAGGGGGAGTAATTGAAGGGACAAGGTAAATCACGGATAAGTTACATTTATTCTAAATGACATTTGGTCATCTTTTGAAAAGGCATATGCTGAGATGGAGGTGGCTCTTAGGGCTCAGGAGGAGATGGTTCTGGTCTGATCTCTTTAAGCCTAGACATCTCCTGACCCACAAAGGACCTGGTTTGCCACCAGCCTGGTCTGAATCCAGTGGAGAGTCTACTGGCCCCTGTCCACCTCACCTTCATCACCCCATCCCAGGAGTCCCAACATCACATGGACATGCCAGTTCTTGGAGGCTGGTTAGAGGAACTATCCACAGAACCTTCCCAAGACCCTTGGGGTAGGATTGTCCATGCTCTGCACTACAACTTCTTGGTGTGCTGTGGCCTTGAGCAGAGGCCACAGGGAGGACACTCCCCTGGTCTTCAGGACTCAAAACAGTTCCTAACACCGCTCCACACCGGCCTTAAATCCTTACCCCAGCAGGCCTCTCTCTGGATTAACCTTTATATGTCAAAACCCTGTTTGGGACAGACTGTAGTTACTCCCTTGCCAGTTGACAGGAGCATGTTGAAATGTTCACTAACACACTACTTCCTTGGAATGGTCGAGCAGCTCACTGTGATCCCTCTTGGGGAGTTCTGGCAGCTGAGTCTGTAACTGGTTGGGCTGCTAACCCAGTGTATTTCCTCTTGTTAAACTAGACGTGGTTCCTTGGGCAGCTGACTGTTACATGTACAATCCCGTGGGACCTTCAAAGAACAGAAGTACATTCTCTCGTGTCCTTCAGGCCCACCTCAGAGTACTGTCCCTGATTTCTCCTGAGAAGAATCTGTCTCGAGCTTTTGTGACAGGCAGTGATCCTTGACTTGTGGCTGCATCACTCCAGTCTCTGTGTCTGTCATCACATGGCCTTCGTCTCTCTGTTTCTATCTTTCATGGGGATACCACTCTTGGACTGTGTTTAGAAGCCATACTAATGCCAGGAGGGTTAGCAGTTAGAGCTGTTGACATCTTTATTGTTGTTGTGTACCACTGAGTTGGAAATGACCATCGCGGACCCTCTGGCAGATTTTTGGAGGTAGTTAATTACACTGGAGGAGATGACTCATCCATCTTCCATGGAGCGGCTGGTGGATTTGAACCACATGCCTTTGGAATTACAGTGCAGCTTCTTGCCACTTGGCCAGACTTTTATTTCCAAACAGGGTCGTGTTCCCTGGTCCTAGATTTGGAACCTGAACATATCAGTGGAGGATACAGTTCTCCCCATAACACTGAACTTGATCCTGAACCATCTTCTAGGGAAACAAAGCCACCATCCGCCCTCATTCCTTCTCTGGTCAGCCCTGCTTCCAGAGTGAGGACAAGCTGAAGCTGTGGAGGAGGGAGTGAATTCCACCTTGTGTCTGGTGACTGGTGGGGAGGGGTGTGCCCTTCCCACTATCACCCCCCTCCTCGCTGTCACCCCTCCGTATGCTGTAGTAGACTTCAGCTGACTGTTTATTTGCAGGCCTCACACACTGCGGTGTCCAGAATCCACTGATGCCCTGGACGGGCGTGACTTCTAGTCACCCAGGGGCCTCAGCCAGGAGACCAGGAGGTCACCTTGGGGAGTGGAGGGACAGGGGTACTTTTGCCCCTGAGGAGATGGTCTCCACAGGCCATCTCTCGCCATGGCCTGCAGCGCCCCTCTGTGTTGCAGACCCCGTGTCGGGACATGGCGCTCCCTCATGTCATCCTGCTGGCGGGAGTCCTGGTAGAAGTCGCTGGCACATCCACAGAAAGTATGGTAGGTGACCCAGTGCAGCACCAGGGGCCGGGCACAAAGCCTGAAGTTCCAAGGCCTAGCCCCCTGCATTTGACCATGACCCTGATAATCGCTGAGTTCTCAGAGGCCCAAGATGCTGCTGCTGGTTTACTCAGACACCTGGACCCAGGCATCACAGTGCAGTAAACAGGAAACAACACAGCACTCAAGATGGTCCTTTTCTGGCCTCGAACCTCCTCTCTCAGCCAAGCTGAACCTTCGCTGTAACCAATATAAGATCTCAACTAAACTACCCCCAAAGGCCCCACAATCTGCCAGTCCCCAAGAGACAGAGACAATTCACCCTGAGGGGAGCTGGCACTGGGCGGGAGGGGGTGTGTCTCTGTGGGGTGCCTCTCCAGGCTGGAGACACCTCTGTGTACCCCACCCTGTCTTCCAGAGCAGACTGCAGTGCCCCTCCCACCATCCACTGTCTCTGCTCCCAGCTCCACTGGCAGCATGCGTTCTGTGGCAGCACCTCTATTTGTAGCCAGACACAAGCCTAGGTTGGGGATCCCCCCTGCTTTAGTCTGTGCTGGTCATGTCTCCATCACAGACATGGAATCTCCACGCTTCAGTCTCCCCTGGTGCCCCACACTGCTCTCTGAGTCCAGGCAACATTTCAGTTGTTGGCTGAAAGGCCCCTGTGCCCGTTTGAACAGGGGACACTGGGCGGAGGAAGAGCTCTGGCCCCAGCAGGGTGCACTGTGGCTGAGGGGCACCGTCAGCACAACCGGGAACTCACCCCTCGCTCTCCCTGCCAGGTCCAGCAGCCCGAATGTTGTGTGGAGGTGGCAGATGTCAACGCAACCTGCCCAGGGACAGGGCTGTGTGGTCCAGGTAAACAGCCCCTGTGTGACCAGAGTGGCCACCTCAAGCCATACCTGGTACTTGTGAGGTGAATGAGTGGGCATGGGTCTGCAGTGAGACTAGTGAACGGCCTTCAAAGAAAAGGGACATTGGAGAGGAACCCCAGAGAAGGCTCAGCGGAGGGTCTGAGACACCTGTGACCCTCCTGGTACAGGTTGCTACCGGCACAGGGCCGAGGACGGGAGTGTCAGCTGCCTCCAGTGCCACAACACCACTTTCCCTGCCACCGCCACCAATGGCTCCGAGTGCAGAAGCCGTAAGCCGCCTGCCCAGCCTTCAGCCCCCAGACCCCTGCCCTGTTTCCGTTGTGGTGTGGCTTCAGCCTCCCTTTGACCTCTGATCCCCACAGTCCTCGGCTTCTATTCAAGGCCTTGGGGGCTCTGACACTTCCTCTGTCCCATAGCCTCCAGCCAAGGTAGACCTTCCCCTGTAAACAGGAGCACAGGGCCCCCTGGGCCACCAGGCTCTGGTGAGTCACCCAGCATGCACTGGTTCCCCACCTCCAGCACTGCTTGGGGTTCAGGGTGTACAAAGGGTGGTGAGGCCCCAGGTGCATCACCTTAGCCTGTATCAGACAAGCCCTGCCTGCTGAGGTGGGATAGGACAGGCCCAACCCCCAGGGGGAGATGGGGAGCCGGGGAAGGGAGGGGTCCCAGGCCGAGGGGACTGGCCGTCGCTCTACTGCAGGGGGCCCCCAGGTGGTTGCCTCGCTCTTTCTGGGGACACTCTTCATCAGCTCCGGCCTCATCCTCTCTGTGGCCATGTTCTTCTACCTCAAGCGCACCAGTAAGCTCCCTGACATCTGCTACAGAAGGAACAAAGGTGTGTCCTTTGTTGGGGTAACCTGGCTGTTTTGAGAGAGGGAGGAGGTTGGTCAGCTGAGGGCACTGCCCAGCAGGACGCGGGGTGGCACTGAAGACCACCTCATGAACCATGCAGCCACCCGCACTCTCTCCCCCACAGCCCCAGCCCTGCAGCCCAGCGAAACCGTAAGTAGACACCCCTGCTCCAGCCGCCCATGCTGCCGTGCCCGCCCTCCAGCGGCCCTGCCCCTCACTCTGCCTTTCTTTCTCCTCAAGGCTGCCATGATCCTCCCGCCACAGTCCTCAGGTAAACCTGCGCAGCCCCGTCTCTGGGAGTCCACATGCTGGGCCTGCCCCAAAACATACACGTCATCAGAGCAGCATCCCTCGTAGTCCCCAGCCCAGGTCCAGTCCCTTCTTATGAGGAGCTCTGTACTAACCCCATGCTTGCTCCTGTGATGAATACAACGCAGTCCCCACTGGTTCCTGGCTCCTTAAGGACGTCAGACCTGCTAGCCGCCCCAGGGCCTGTCCCCAAGTTACCTCCTGAGGGGCACTTACCTGCCGCACCACTGTCACTGGGTGAAGAACAGGGGTCAGACCAGACACCCACAGCCAAGTTCTCAGCTCCTGCGGAGAGGCCCAGGGTCAGGGGACAGACAGTGAAGTCCTTTGGGAACAAAGATGACTGATCCGCAACATCTAACCACTGCCATGCGAATCTGCATTTCGGGGTGCAGGGGTGATTAAGCTGAGGAGGCCAACATGAATGGTGGCTTTATTGTCATTACAGTCCAATTCATGACCTCAATCATTCTTTTTTTTTTAATGTCCTACCTTTTGTTCTTCTTCTAATATTTTATTTACAGAATTCTAATACATTGCTTTTCAGACCAGATTCTTCCAACCTCCCTCACCCCACCCCATCATAATGTACAACCCCATGATCAATCCGCCCCACCCAACTCTGCACATCCTCATCCCTCTGCTTCCACCCTCCCACCACCTTGGATCCTCATACTCCTACAATAATGGTTTTATACAACATCACACTCATTCTTGAGTGAACTCAGTGGAGCTTGGGGGGCACCTCTCAAGGGGACCTGAGAGTGAGCAGAAACCTCCCTCACCTACCTCTGGCCCTGCTGTTCAGTCCTGCCTGCCTCTGACCCAAGCCCTCTCCGGCGCATTGCAGTGCGGAAGCCACGTTACGTGAGGCGTGAACGGCCCTCTGACAGGCCCTCGGAGGCCACAGTCATCTCATCAGTGGAAGCCCGAGTCAGCAGCGTCTGAACTGGGATCCTGAGTGCAACTAGACCAAGACAAGCCCTAAGGCCTGGGCGGACTATGCCCTGTGCCTGGCACACAGAGCTGGCACCATGAGCTGGGCCTGGGCCCAGGCCTCCTCCACTCCTTAGTAGCAGACGCCATGAGGGAAACTGGCTGTGCCCAGCTCCCCTGGAGTCCGTCTCTTCCCTTCAGTGCCACTCTGTCGAATGACCAGAAGTGGGCCTGGCTGCACCAGCAGAATGCAGCCTGGGACTCCTTGGGAGGAGAATTACAGGGACATAAGCTGGTGAAGGTCAGGCCTGCCAGACGGGCGGGGGCTGGAGCTGGTGACGGGCAGACTGCGCCTCCTCACACGCTGTCCCTGCTCCCACCCTGACTGACCGCCAGACCTGGGTGCCAACTGCCCTACACCCAGGTGCCTCACTTGTGGGCCCCCGGAATGATGCTGCAGTACTCAACGTCAGTGCGGTCAGTGCGAGGCTCGACTGCCGCACAGCAGATGTATGTTTTGTAGAAATGAGTCTTGGAAGGGCTGTTGGATCCCCTCCTGCTCCCTCTGCCATGCCAGGATCCCCCATCTGCTGGGGTGCAGTGTGTGCACCCCAACACCCTGCGTCTGAATCTCACAGTAACACTTGCTGTGCCCACCACGTGGACTGCACCTGGTTTCCTAGAACCTCCCCAAGCAGCGTGGGGCCATCCTCTGGGGGCCTGTGAGGGCCAATGGTCCTCATCCTGGGGGCTCCCCATATGATGGTGGTCCCTGCCCTTCTGCGGGAATCCTTCAATCGCCTCAGGACCCCTCCGTAGCCTCAAAGATGGCACTTCGAGTCTGGGGACATTTGATGTCTCCAGAGTCCCCTGCACTGTGACCCCCCAACTAGAGAGTTTTATTTTTCTACTGCTGACTTTATTACATGTTTGTTTTCCAAGACTTGAACCTGGGTCACCCAGGTACAGAGAAGAGGTGTGCCATTTTAAAGCCCATGTCAAAATTCTCTGGAGCTCTCCTGTCCTCTTTATATGAGGGGGTTTGTTAGCTGCTGACTCTGTTCCGACTAGTGGTATCCCCAGGGTGGTAAGTGCTGGAGTTGAAAGGTTAGTACTTTGAACCATCCTGAGCCTCAAAAATAGGCCTGGTGATCTGCTTCAGCAGTCACAGTCTTGGAAACTCTATAGAACAGCTGTTCTCAGTACACACAGCGTGGCCTTGAAATGAAGGAGGGTGAAGCCTGCCAGTCCCTGCCCTGCCCCATCATGCAGGGACCCACCCAGAACTCTACCCCATGTGCTGCAGAAAAGGGGCCTGGGAAGAAGCTCCTGGGGGCTTGTCCATGCCACTGCCTACCTTACACACAGCTCCCACCCTGTAGGACTTCTGAAAGTTGGGGAGTCCCTCTCTCTCAGAGGAACTGAGGGGGCAAGGGCTTGTGTAGACCTGGTTCACTGGTGGATTTCCCGAGAGTGTGAGGGCTTCCTGGGGTACAGGCTAGGAAGGGGTACAGGACCCTCAGGGGAGGGGCTCCCAGAGGACACCACCGTCCCAGCAGCTGTCACTCCCACCCCTGCTTGGACCCAGACTCCTCACCACTCTCCTGTCCTCACTCCCAGGAACCACCTCCACAGAGGGGCTGCCTTTGTTAGTATCCCAGTTGCGTGGGGCCAGGTAACGAAGCAGAAGCCCACCAGAGAGAGAGAGAGACCAAGTCAGGGGTGAGGGACAGAGCCCCCAAAGCTTCCAAGAATGGGTCAGAGTGAAGTGTGGAGGGAGGAAGATGGTCTAGTCTGGGTCAGTGCAGAGCCATTGTCCCCCACCTGCCCAAGGAGCCCTCATCCTGACCAGGGAAGGTCACTGCAGCCCAGCCTGGCTCGTGGTTGCCTGAGAACTATCTGCTGCCCACTCTCTTCCCTCCCTCACCGGATGCTACCCAGCAGACCCCAGTCCAGAGGCCTTGGCTTGCTGAGTCCTACCTTTCCAGTGACCCTGGAGCCTCCAGCTATAGCTGGATGATGACTATCCCTGCCCATGGTCCATGGTCCGTCCTCCCATGCAGGCCGAGGCGACAGGCTGACAACATAGGAAAGAGAGGCCTCCCTAGGCCCTCAGGCCCAGCAAGCCAGCCAGCTTGTCTTAAATAAGGGGAAAAACAGGAAACGCAAATGATGTTTGGTCAAGCACAAGTTGGGGTACTGGTACTCAGTGCTTGTACTCCTTTGAGTCTCTTTCCAGGTAAAATTCTCCCATGTGAACTCAGCAACCCCCAAAACCATGTGGTCACTTTCCCTCACATCTACTCCCTCCCCCAGCTTGGCTCAGTGGCAGTCTTGACCTGGTCTGATTTGATCTTCACTCAACATTCAGCCCTCCCCTTCCAGCGCCATCTCCCAACTAAGGATGCTCCTTGCTCCATCTGTTGTTATCAGGTGCTGTCCAGTGTTTTCAGACTCCTAGTGACACTGTGTCCTGTGCCATCCTCAGTCACTGCTGTCCTTATGCTCATTCATGTTGCCCCTAGGTCAGTCCATCACAACAGGGTCATCCTTTTCACTGACTCTCTGCCAAATATGATGTCCTCCAACGACTGGTCCAAAGTACAGGAAACAAAGTTTCTCCACCCACATTGCCAAGGAGCATTCTGGCTGCACTTCCTCCAGGACAGATTGGTTTATTCTTCTGAAGTCCATGGTATATAATCTTTGGCAACACCACAATTCCAAAACATCAATACTTCTGTCATATATTGTCCAATTTTCACATGCACATCTAGTGAGAAGATCATGGCTTAAGTCAGGTGCACCTTAGTCCTCAAAGTACCATCTTTGCTCTTAACATTTTAGGGGTTTTTGCAGCACTAGCAGTATCATGATAGATGGAGAAAAGACTAAGTTACTTCATTTTCATTGGATCCATAATCACTTGTTAGCCCCAGTGTAGAAATCAAAAGATAGGTTGCATTAGGGAGATCTGCTGTCAAAGACCTATCAAGAGTGCCAAAGAGCAAGGATGTCAGTTTAACAACCAAGGTGCACCTGATCCAAGCCTTGGTATTTTCAGTTGCTTCCTTTGTCTCTGAAAGTTGGAAAATGAATAAGGAAGACCCAAGAAGAACTGATGTCTTTGAATTATGATGTTGGTAAAGAGTAATGAATATACAAAAAAAAAACCCCGACTCGATGGCACTTAACAACAATAACAGCAACATAGAGACCAGTTGGCCTCATGGACAGAAAGTGATGCTCCCAAGCCAAAGGTGGGTGACTTCTAATCCGCGGCCCTCAGGCCTGTTTTTCAGTGTTTTTGTTCAAACACTCTTCTAGATCATATAGCCCTGGTGTGTCCACTTGCCATACAGAGGTAACTTGTGGTTGTTGTAAAGCTGAACACTGTGACACTGATGTGTCAAATGTGTTAATGGTTACCCATGGCGGACAGTGTTTGGTGGCGCTCCCTGATTAAAACAAGCTTGGAAGCAGGAGTGGCATTCACTTCCGTAATAGCTTGCTTCCAGAAACCCTATGAACCTGGAGAGAGGATGAAAGTCACACAGGTGTTGAGGACTTTTGTTCACAGAGTCCCTATGAATCGCCTACCACTCGACGGCACTTAACAACAACCAAAATAATAAGTCTGTCTGGAAGGAAATGCAACCATGGTGGCTCCTTGGAGGCAAGGATGGTGAAACTTCATCTCACTTACTTTGGACATAGTCTCAGGAGGAGCCAGTTACTGGACTGAGACATGCTGTGAAAGATGGAGGGATGGTCATCTAAAGAGAGGAAGACGCTCGACACAATGAGTAGATGCAGTGACACCATAAAGGGTCTGCACATGACAGATCCGGAGGATGGTGCAGGGTGGGCTCACCCTTTTGTTATGTGCCATTAAGTCGCCTGCAACGCATAGTGACCTTATGAACCCTGCCCTGCCCTGAGCCAGTCTCACTGACTCTGACACACCTACCTCCGTTACCCCAGTTACTGTGTCAATCCACCTCACCCTGGGTCTTCCTCTCCTGCACTGACCCTCTGCTCTTCCAAGCATGATGTTTTCTTCAAGAACTGGTTCCTCCTGGCCACGTGCCCAGAGTATGTGAGATGGAGCTTCAAAATTGTTGCCTCCAAGGAGAAACTTGGTTTCACTCTCTCCAAGACAGACCTGTTTGTTCTTTTGGTGGTCCTTGGACTAGGGTCGCAATGAATTGTAGTCAACTGGATTGCCCGTAGCAGCGTCAAAAGGAAAAGGTCATGTTGATTCATGAAAGGAGGAAGAGATCAGCTGGGATTGGCCCACGTGGAGAGGATCGGGATAACTAATCACATGCATAGTTATTTTTTCAAGACGGCTGCCACAGGAAGGCTGTCCTGGGCCTTGTAGGGAGCATGTGCAAATGACTGAGATGGCTGAACATATACATGACTCAGCGCATTTCAGCAGCATGTGCTTGTGGCTTTAAAAACGGCCATCTCCTGGCCAACAAGCACATGAAGAAATGTTCAAAATCCCTAGCCCTGAGAGAGATGCAAATCAAGACAACCATGAGATATCATCTCACTCCAGTAAGAC